TCATCCAAAAGAGCTTGATGGAATTCCCGTTTTTTGGGGACATCCCTCATACCCAAACAATCCCAAAAAGGAATTTTGATGAATGCAGGCTGTCTACTATTGTACCTAGACATTTACGCTTGGGTAGCGGTAATCAGTGGGCTTATTATTTGTTGCAAGGACCTTAACGCGGTAGCCAGGTCCACCTTTTGCATGCTCATGGGAGGTTGGGCAGAAGGGGCAGGCAAGGTTGCCTCCCTAGCTGCGTCCGCGTATGATAGATTGCGCCTTTGTGCTATAACTTGCAAGTTCCTCATTGGAGTGTACTTGCAAGACTGACTATTTGCAGGATGTCCCTCTCCACAGTTCGCGCACTTGCGCTTTTCCTCTTCTGTGAGGGGGCACACAAATACGTTATGTGGTTCTTTGCACATTTTAAGCTTTTGGGCCGTACAGTGCAATATTACTGCGCATGCCCGTACTTTTGGCAGCGGGGGGGAGGGGGGGGGGTGTGAAATGGAATTGTATTGTATTCGGAAGAGGAGAAGAGTCTTGGGTTGGTCGATCAGCCTTGCCGCCTTTCCTCCTTCTTGATTTTGCTTTTACAAATCCGTCGGTCTGTACGTCTTCGACTGTGGACGTGAAATGATCATCAGTAACGTTTCTCAGTGGTCTTTTTAGGGTGTTTGTCCGTTCTTTATGGGATTCTTTTGAATTTACTAGTATTGTTACCTGGTCCTTGATGGTCTCCAATAGGTCTCGAATCTGCATCAGCATCAGTTTTTCGATCGTTTTCTGCTCCGTTTTCAGTAGGCCCATGTTTTCTGCTTCTGCTTGGCTTCCGTCACCGCACAGGTCTTTCCTCTTAATACATATATGGAACTGCGTCGTCTGTTGATCCTCCTGGGTCAACTTCCATCTTTTAACAACTTTTTCTCGCCAAGAAATCTCAGAAAACATATAGCTCTCAAATGTGACAATGTTGTCAAAACTCTTCTTACAGGCCGTTTTCTTGATATTATCGTTTAACAGTGTTTATCGCTGAAAAAATATTTTTTATTTAATTAGTAGTGTACAGTCCATTCTATCAGAGCTTTTATCCAGTTTTCAGTTTATTCAGTGAGTTTTTTGAGAAAATAATTAACAAGGGTGGAAGTTAGTGCACCGCAATCGCGCTTTATATTAAAGTTGTGAATCTTCAAAATGCCACCAATTAGACGTACCAACCTAGGTCGCGGAACTCGCAATGCTGTAAGTTATAGATATATACGAAGAAGTCAAACTGACGAGAAGCGAGAATTGAAGCTGAACGGATCGAAGGACTGAAATTCAACGACGTAGAAGTATCGCACTTAATCCCAATCGAGTTGCATTCAATTATGAGGTGGCAATCGATTAGAGTTCCCAACAAATTGACGTTGTGAGTCCACATTGCAAGGCTTTAAATTTTTAAAATAAAACCCCTGGATTATCTTGCGTCAAAGAAAAGATCCAAATTGACTCCATTGGTACTTTGTTTCCAGAAATGGGCCAGATCCTATAATTTTTTTTACTCATATCCAGCAACACAATAATTGCTTTCAAATGACGCCATTTGGCGCAACAAAATTCTTTCCACATAATTTTATGCCTACTTTCAAGGTGAGTTGCTGGGGGAATGATAGTGCTGCCAACGTATTTTGCTAGCCACATGGCGGTACAAACACTTCCCTATACAATTACCTATGTAGTCCATATATCTACCATTTTTTATTATTCATTATTCATCCCAGTTTATAACTAAGACAGGACAACGTCTGTCAGGTCTACTAGGAACAATAATAATAATAATAACAACAATAGTGATGGCTTTATGTTAAATTTGTATTAGAATCCGACTATTAAATTTCGAACTATACGTATAGGGGAACCGAGGACGTCGTAGCTCTTTCGCTAAAGTTGCTTGGACACAAATCAGGCATCCACATACAGAACAAGCTTGATTCATAATATAATCAACCACTTGATTGATGAACATTGCTCAAGTCAACGCAGCTAACATACCTGAAAACGCAGTCTGACTCGGTACCGCTGTATCTGTCGCTGCTTCTTCCTAAAGCCACCACGTCGATAGCTCGTGTTAGATTTGTGCTTCTGTTCTAGGACCTGTGCTGTTCTGAGTGTACGCCAATTCCACTCGTCTAAACAAATATTATCCAGAGTGATTCTACTGGCCCTACACTGTGATATTACTGCAACGACAGTTCCGTATAATCTTTAGCGATTCTGCATCTTGCGTCGCACATCTTCCTTGTAGCACCTTTCACCGAGCATTTTTCTAATAGTTCGGATTGTTCAAATCTCTTCCTGTTTTCTTTCATTTTGCACAGTTGCTACTGTTTTGTAATAGTTCATAATATGGAAATTATGCGACGGTGGTTTGTGAGTGGCATCTCGTGGATTAGTTTTCCGAAAAAGGAAATCTTGGAACAATTTTACATAAGCCCAGACGTGGTGAATGTGATGACATTTTTAGAGCTGACTTTTACTTCTGAAATGGTTAGACATTTTTTGATTTTATCACCAACCTAGTTACATTTAAATTTCTCGATGAGTTCGTAGACCAAATAGATTGTATATGCATATTGAAACCATTGGCAGGAAATAGCATAATCTTGATTGCTACTACAGGAAGTGTTCGTCTTGCTGTACGCAATGATCATGTAAACGTAATGCTTGACATACTTAGGAGGAATCAAAATAACAGGTTTAGAGATGCTGTTTTTCCAGTTCGAATACTCAAGATCCAGGTATTTCGAAAAACATATGACTCTGGATTACAGATAAGTCAACTGAGATCGTTAGTTCTTGTCGTTCAATGCAAAATTATGATTAGCTACGTGATAGCCATGGTTCAGGAGATAATCAAACACCTATATTGCTCTATTGACATCAGGTGATGATTAGTCTTGTATTTCCAGACTGTGCGTTGATATAGATACCCGTAAATATTACTTCACTGTCTGGTAAGTTTAGTAGGAGGAGATAATTTTAATAATTACCCGCATTGACTTGATAACTGTCTGTAACCAGTCGACCAATATGCAGAAATGAACCTCAAAGTATTTCAGGCTTTGAATAAAAACATCAAATCTCCAAAGCTGTTTCACCCATAACTATATATGCCTTTTTATTCTGAAGTAGCCGCGTAGGCAGAAGCCTAACCACCAGGGCACCGTGACTGATATAAGGGGCTTGAGGACACCTTATCGAACCAATTTTTGTACTCCCTAAGGCCTCCCCAGACAGATTGTTCCACAATATCGACACTCTAGGAACAAAGGAGCAGTCGCACCGGCCAGTTCTGGGTGTATGAATTTCGACAGAGTTGGGATGGGAGGCAGAAGTCTGGCGGAGGAGCTATGAGGAGCGAAGCCCATTTACGTAACACTAGTAGAGAACAATACTGCTGACGGCCCGTCGGTGCGAAAGGGTATCGAGACTGTCCGTTAAAGGAGTGTCATCGATTTGTTGGACAGCAATTGTCTGAATATCGAGCGTCAAAAATGTAATCGGGGCGGCTGCACTCCAAACACGTCTGCAGTACTAAAGGGTATCTGGGCCTTGTGAAACGTATCCTGTGGTCTCCATGTTCATAGGACCCCATTTTATGGCCTAATCAAAGCCACGTACATGTTAAGATTTTAGTTTATTGTACGACGTCTCGACCACCGCTGTAGTCTTTTTCAATTGTGACTGTCCTGTCTTTCAGGTGACATTTTCTTTATTCCTTTTTCATACTCCAATACAGTGTGTTACTACATTAGTGTGGTATATATATATAACAACAAGTAGGAAAATAATGGGCAAAATCCGCAAAAAGGAGGAAAGTGGATTCGAGCAGAAAATAGGATAGGTAACCCGAGCGATACGTATTTCTGCTGGTTGGCTTCATCAGGCCCGAAATGAATGCACATATGAAACTACAATAGTAGATACACATGCCCACACATCCGGATACGGGTGTAACCTGAGGAAACGAAGTTGGAGGGGGAAAAAACGACACACGAAGTCCACAACAAGTGCCATGTGTAGTTTCATATGTACAAAACTTTGACGTCGAAATGATCCTCAGTCCAAATGCTCTTATAAATGATGTAATCAAGGATGTAGCTGTGCTTACAGTCGACTTCAATGAAATGGTTTATGTCATTAGTCTCGTAGGGTCAAATGATGCCCTGTCCAAAGGATTTATTAAAGCGAACGAGCTAAAGGACAAACCAAAAGCTGTAAGGAACACAAACATCGTACTAACCACTATACCACAGTGGAGATCAAACCGCTCCATACTAAATAATATTATTGCCAACATAAACAGACAGATTAAATCCACATGCCATGAGTCAATTGCACATTTACTGAGCTTATCTGACAGTCTTCGAAGCTATCATTTCAAGAACGACTCCAACCATTTGAACAACGAGGATAAGCATAGGCTCTGCCACGGAATCTCAGATCTAATATCACACAACAGCTTTGGAACAATTCAGATAGCAAAGAAATAATGCCACCACCACAAACTATAAACGAACATGAAAAACGCCCCACAAGTCACACCGAAAGATACCTCTGTCACAGTCAAGCAAGGTCCATCGACAAGACACCACATACAGAGAACGCTTATTTCACCAGAAGCTAATACACAGAACACTAGCAGCCCAATGACCACGTTGACCAATGTAAACAGTAAACAGCAGGCATCAAAACAATAAAATTTTCAAAGAAATGACTCGAAGAAAATAACTTCAAAATAAATCATCTTAATTCTTGCAGTCTCTGAAATAAATTCAGTGAAATAGAGCTACTTGTTAACGATTCTTCACCAGATGTATTATGTCTTACCGAAACGTGGTTACCATTGGGCGCGATATAATCCGCGAATATAGACGGCTATACCCTTATCTCGTGCTTCTGTCGAGTGAGACGCCGACATGAAGAATGTGCAATTTATGTCAAAAACAGTTTAACAGCCAAATGCATACCGTTCGTGAGCAAGGCGTCGGAAGACGGAGAAATCGAGGCTTGTGGACTTACAATGAATTCCGGAAGATCTAATGAGAAGCTCGGCATAATATGTGTGTATCGCCCACCATCTGGTAACGTAGCGATATTTCTGAAGAACTCTGGGAATATATTGGACAGGTTATTTTTGGAAAATAGCAAAAACGTCATTTGTGGGGATCTTAACATAGATAGCCTGAAATCCAGCATAAATTCATATCTACCTCGATCTGATATCATCCTGTAACATGATAAATCACTGTGATAGTGCTACTTGCACTGCAGTGAACAAAAATAATACAATGACATGTACATCAATAGATTATATCATAACGAACTTCAGACTCAGCCATTTGACACGAACCTTTGAACATTTCAGACCACACTGCTCAACTTCTTTCGCTCTCTCATGCTTCCCACGACAACCTCGAACATCAAGACAATCACTTGCTTATCACAAGGCCTATGAATGACGACAATTTAAATCACCTCAAAGTAAGCTTAGTTCAGGAGAACTGGAACATTGGCGAGGACGATGTTGATGCAGAATTTGAACGGTTTCTCAACAATTTTTTGTGGCATTTTATTTGAAATGTCCCCAGAGGCATAAAACACGACACAAAAAGCAGAAATCTAAACCGTGGGTGACGCCAAAAATCCAACAGTCCAGCCAAGATCTAAGAGAACTACACAATTTGGTGGAAAGGCATGAAGACAAAGTAAATATGAGACAGCAGTACTTTGACAACAAGAACACAAGAAATTAATTTATTCAACAAAAAAAGAGTACTACAGTAGTCTAATAACATCCAGCAACAACAAAACTAAAAAAATATGGGAAGTAGTCAATGAAGAAACCGGAAGAGTAAAGAAACAGCATCAAATAGTGCTGAAAAATGAAGACAAAGAACTTACTGACACCCCCGTACCCGACACGTTTGGCAAGTATTTTATATACCTACCCACTAAGAGATCGTGGAAGTAATCAGCAGCCTTCCAAATAAAAGAAGCATTGGAAATGATGGAATTTCAACGCGTGTGATAAAGTTTGTGAACGTGAAATATTGTTCCCTTTATCAGTGCTTATTAATAAATCAGTGAAACAAGGTAAATTCCCGAAATGCTTGAAACTAGCTATTGTTATTTCCGTATACAAGAAGGGTGACCGTAGCGACCTTGAAAACTATAGACCAATATCACTTTTATCGATAATCTCTAAAGTCATTGAAAAATGTCCGTATAAACGTATATTATGTTTTCTCAATCGCTATAACCCTTTATCAGATACCCAGCATGGGTTTAAACCCTCACGATCTATAGAAACGGCGACCTTTGACGTTTTTTCCCATACATATAGAGAAGCAGATGAAAACAGACACGTTGCTGGACTATTTTTTGACCTTTCGAAAGCATTCGATATAATGGACATTTAGTTTATCGTGGAAAAATTTTACTGCATAGGCATAAGGGATTTTATTCTCAGCTGGATCCAGTCTTTTCTCACAGATAGAAAATTGAAAATGAAGGTCAATGGTCATACGTCAACTCTATATTCCCTGAATATAAGTGCGGCACAAGGCTCAGTACTTGCACCACTGCTCTTCATTGTATACATAAATGACTTGAAGTTGTCTGGCTTCATGATTAATTATGCGGATGATACATCTGTCGTCGTCAGTGCCACGACACCGCAGGATCTTCACGAATCTATTGAGAAAGTCAAAAGTGAAATGAGCTAGTGGTGCTAGTCTAACCGCCTCATCTTGAATGAAGATAAGACTGTTCAAATTTATTTCTTCAACAAGAAACCACGCATGGATATTGATAGCTTTTCAGATCAAACTGTCTTCATAGGAATTCATGTTGACAGTAAGTTAAGCTGGCAACCACAAATAAATCACATTTGCAACAAAATTTACAGGGCTTATTTTGCAATATTGAAATTAAAGCCTAACTCACTCTTAGATACGTTTTACGGGCTAGTTTATTCTCACCACACTAACAATATAATCATCTGGGGACAGGCAACAATGATTAACAGATCATTCATCCTGCAGAAAAGATACTTCGTTTAATTTTTAATATTAATAAGAGGGACTCCTGTAAAGAAATCTTTAGACGCTATAATTTGCTTACATTAACTTACGCCATTAATAGTCAATACAACAGGGCATGATCTGAGCATACCGACACATAAATCTGACCTATTCCAAAAATCTTCCACTTTAGCCGGCATAAGGTATTCAATAATCTGCTAAGTGAGTTGCGGAGATGCACTAATATCCTTGAGCTGAAAAACCATCTCAGAAAATATCTGGTTGAAAAATGCTTTTTCTCTCTTCATGAGCTTTTTAACACATGAGAGTATCTGAATCATTTCGTTATCAGTGAATTGTCTATTATCGTGGAGTAAATGTATTTTAATTTCACTTTTCATTAGAGTTTTAAGTATGGATGATTTTAGCTTTAAACCATTTGTCCTCTTTGCAAGATGTTTATTCTGTTTATGTATTATGTATTTCTAACAGATTCTCCTACCGTTTTCCTTTGTATCAGCTACAATGATTTTTACCGGCTAGACGAACATTTTTTGTGATAAAAAAAGTCGCTGTATATATATTTTTACCGTTAAAGATTGAACAGATTCCGATTCTTGCGCTGTACCTATATTGTGATTTAACCTGTTAAGATGTTAGTCTTTGGTGGTTTTTCGCGGTGCCATCTTAAAAACTTGGAATGATCTTCACCCAATCTCAGCATGTTACAGCGCCGTTCAGATTATTGTAGTAGCGTACTGTATAGGAATGTGAAAAAGGAAAAAGACACGAAATGCCACCTGGTAGACAGAAAACAAAATATATTGTCATATATATTATTTGTACTTGAAAATGACCACACTGATGGTCAAAGCATCGTATAATGAACTGAAATCTAAACATATATGTGGTTTCGATTCGGCCAGACAATGTGGTCTTATGATGTGGCCATGTGGAAAAGAATACATCTTAGCCTTAAATAAAGAAATTGGCTTTTTCCCAAAAACTGTTGGCAATGACCATTCATCGAAACCGGATGGGCGCTAGGGTGCTTGGGCACTGGGGGCATCCATCCCTAGGACATGCTTTATAGTATCCTGGTCGTTTGCTATGAATCCGAGAATTACAAATCATTTTGACACGCCCTGTATAAGCTCTACCGTGTCTAAAAAGTTACTGGTGCATTATTCATTTCGTGGTGCTTCACGGAAGATCAAGTTGAACACAATCTGTTCTCCTTGAGTAAGCGAGCGAGCGGTGTACTATCCATATAGGCGGCCGTTTTTTATTCCACTTCTCTCTTATTTAGATCAAATACTGGTATTACACTCATAAAGATACCGCTTCATCTACTTGAACCAATCTCGTTGTTGCAATGACTTCTGTTGTAACATTTTATATAATATCTTTTGCACATCTCTGAATCATCTCCTGTTCTAATGGGCAAACGTGAAACAGACCTGCTCTGTGGCAGATCTTGTTCGATAGTGACAAGATGAAAGATTTTAAATAAACGTGCAACTAAATATGGTTAGCATCAATTAACCGCGGTGTCATCAGAATGTGAAATATTTTCGAGGGGTACGGAATTTGCATATCTTTTTTGTTTTGGCAATACCAATGGTGTGGTTTGATTAGCCTACTAAGTAATTGAAAACTATTAATCATAATTACATCACCAGACTGAAATATTTCGAATAACATAAGAGTGGTTCATTTAGGAATTTGTACAGTCTGCGATGTGTTGCGGGCACAAAATATCAATAATAGAATTGCACTTTCTTAAAACTCCTTTGCAAATTCACCAGACTCAGGTATTGTTAACAAAAAGTTATCTGAAAAAGCAGAGGTGTGACTTAAGTTCTCTGAAACTGGGCTCTGTACTTATAGGGTTCATAGGATTACATTTATCATTTTTCTCATAACTACTTTTCTGTTGCAGGTAAGGGAGCAACAAGTAGCAAAGCCGTGTATAGTCACAGGTAAAAGTCCAGAAGTCTTAGCACACGTTGATTCTGCAATAATTCTTTCTTAATTAGATTTTAAATAGGTCAAAAGAATCAGGGGGTAGGTTCGAATTCCTTTTGGGCTATTTTTAGTATTTTGAGATAATCAAGAAGCAATGTGTGATGTGCACTAACGTATTCAACAGGGCGACTTCATTTTAGAGCAGTATTATCGAACAAGTGATCCTTGCATATCTGGTGTAATATGTTTACTATACTTAGTTTAACTGTTTTTTGTATGCAACATTTCTAAATACGGCGCATTCGTACCGGATATCTATGGAATAGAGAATTAGAAGTAATAGAATTAGTTCGCTATCGGTTAAGAAAGTGATTAAGTCAATTTTAAACGGACGACATCTAGCACAAACTATGTATTTTTAGTCGAAAGTTATGTTATTATTTACATAACGTTCCAATGGATTGTTCACTTAGGAAACGGCTAACACGGGTAATAGAAAAACGGCCACTGAACTTATAAAGTAAAAGGTGCAAGAGAAAGACATGAAAATTGACATCATATCCGCTTTAAAAAGTTGGCATTCTAATTCACTATAATTCTACAGAGAATACTATAATGGGCACCTACGAGGGATGTTTTGCATATAGAAACATAGTAGGCCGCGCGGATCGAACGGCAGTACTGAATCTTGACCTCACTCTTTAGTAAACTTAAATTCAAATTTTGTCAACAATACGTGCAGTGTTCTCACTACAGTGAATTTTTAAGTGTCACCAAGTCATTAGAAAAATGGAACTCAACCGAGAACATTTTCGCACCATAATTTATTGCAACTTTCAGAGACAATTATCGCAACAAGACTGCCTTGCTGAGTTACTGACTGTTTTCGGCAACGAAGCGCCACATCAGTCGGCAGTTTCCCGTTGGCATCGAGAATTCAAACGTGGACTGGTGAGTCTTAGCGACGATCCCAGGGTGGGTGCACCAAAAACGGCAGTCACCCAGGAAAACGTCGATGCTGTGCGCAAACTCATCATTGAAGATGTACATGTGACATATCGCGATATTGGGGCGTCCTTGAGCATCTCAAAGGCCTCAATTCAACAAATTTTACATGAAGAATTAGGAGTAAGAAAACTAGTTTCTCGTTGGATACCCCACCTGTTGACTGAAGAGCAGAAAGCAGCCAGGG